AAAAAAAAAAAAAAAAAAAACAAAAACAAAAACAAAAAACGTAAAAAAGAAGTATACAAAGCCGATTAGTCGGATTTAATGTTTTAGCGTTCTCAACAAACTTTACTGCTTTTGCAGGCGAAAAAACTGTTTTCGACAAAAGTTTTATACTCTTTTCAAAAAGTTTAAAGAAAATTCCTACTTTATGCCAGTAAATTTTGTTAAATTTTTAATTTTTGATCTTCAATCTATTTGAATGTAATGCAATTTTTATATAAAATCAAGTTACTGCTATCAGCTGCCAAAAATTTTGATAAATTTTGTAAAATATATGATAGCGTGATGGGTCTTTGGAAACGTTGCTATTAACACTGATGAAACTTCAAATTTAATGCCACAAAATTCGCCGCTATATATCTCTAACCTAAGGTTGCAACTATCACATCATCGAATAAAAGCTGACAGCTTCTCTAAAAACTTATTATTACATTTCCCAAAATAATGCGATAATTTCAAATTTTGTTTTTTTCGTCGTGGTTCTAAAAAATCAAAATCATCTGTTTGAAACATTTTTTCGTTTCAGCTACAAACATGTAACTATTTTGTAGCACCTAAAAAAGCTGGTCTAAAGTGAAATTTATCATGATTTACATATTTTTAGCCCTCTGTGTTACGAAGATATCGAAAAGGTTGCCGAAGCAATCAAAAAACAAGTGAAACTATGTGAAACACCGACAATTGGTATTATATGCGGCTCAGGGCTGGGAGATTTAGGTGATATGCTTGAAAATCCACAAATTCTTCCATACAACAAAATACCTGGTTTTCCATCAACTAATGGTAATTTCTTCAATTTATTGAAGCTCTCAACCAGTTGTCACGTGTTTGACTGTTACAAAAAAAAGGAAGAAAAAAAGAAGATACGCTCAATTACTGTTCAAGAGAAAACAAACGTACTTTTTAATGAACTTTATGTTCCTTTAACTCTCGAAACCTGCACTAATTTCTGTAAAAAGACGTTGTAAAGTGGTGTAATTATTTTAGTGTGCTGTAGTTTTGAATGTTTGACATGCTGATTTAATATTTGTGTTTACAATACTATGTTTATGTTGTGACAACAAGACCAAAAGTTACAATTTTAGTGATCGGTCATAAGGGAAATCTCATTTTCGGATACCTAAAAGGCAAATATGTAATGTGCATTCAAGGAAGATTTCACCCTTACGAACACGGAATGAATCTCGCTTTGGTAGGGATTAGGAAAAAATCGCCAGCTTGACGTATTTTTTTTGTCACTGGTTATCGAATTTTACTGGTTGCAGTGCGCCATGCCAGTTCGAGTAATGCATTTACTAGGAGTTAAAACCTTAATAGCATCAAATGCTGCTGGTGGAATTAACCAAAACTTTGAATATGGTGATCTGATGCTGATAAAAGATCATATATTTCTACCTGGACTAGCCGGCTTTTCACCGCTTGTTGGAAGCAATGATCCTCGTTTTGGAGCTCGATTTGTCTCTGTTCACGCCGCTTACGACGTACAGCTGAGGTTACAGTTGCAACGGCTTTGTTTTTTTCTTTCTTTTATAATTCAAAAAAGCAGTTAGGTGGAATTTTAAAACTTAAATACTTTATACGGCTTGAAGGCAATGGGTTTATGGATTACAGAAAGATGGCTTTGGAGATAGGGCAAAAAATTGGTGTTCGTGTGCATGAAGGTATCTATGTGATGTCAGGGGGTCCACAGTACGAATCTCCAGCAGAAGTATTAATGTTCAAAACAGTTGGAGCAGACGCATTAGGTCTGACAAATATTTGTTAATGAATTTTAGATAAAAAACAACTGTTTATTTGTAGCTCGAAAAACGCGAAAATAATTTTTTTTTTTAATTTTTACAGTTCCTCACAAAATTAAGGTTTAGGTAAATAAGACTTTTGTTTATTAATCTTTTTTAACATAATTTTTTATTGGAAGAGCAGCTAGAAGTTGCTGATTTAATGCTGATTAAAATCTTTAAATAATTCTTATTGGTCCGAAATATATCGCCGGAAAAATTAAGGTATGTCCACTTGCCACGAAGTTACAATTGCGCGACAATGCGGCATGAGAGTTCTTGGCTTCTCTTTAATTACAAACATGTAGGTATTCAAAACTTTTAAAAAAAATGCCAAATTATTTAACGTCAGCACTATTTTTAACAAAACTACTTCATATTTATCCGCAGTTTTCTTCAAATAAAACTTTTATTATTGTCATTGTGCACGATTAAAACAATGGGTTTTAAACGACTAATAAAAGACGTCTCTTAATTTGGGTAATTTTTAGTGCGAACTTAGATGCCGATGTTGCTGTCGAGGTGAAACACGAAGAAGTTTTGGAAACAGCTAAAGAAGCTAGCCAGCGAGCTTGTAATTTTGTGACCGCTATCGTGGAACAATTGTAGTGTTCTGTTTGCTTACTAGCTGCTTTAAAAGCATCCTAATTATGGTTAATCTTTTAATGTAATAAATGCAACAGAGTCGTTCTATGATATAATGAATGACTTAAGAATTCCAGTTTCCTTTTTTTTGGAAAAAGTATTGTACCCGTTCAATCCAGAAGCTTAAGCTCTAAAACATTTTTTTTTCTAAAACACGATATTTCTTTTAATATTGTTAATTCTTCGTTTCTGTCATCTTCATCTTTCGTTCATACGTGTTATTACTCAAGCAAAGCTCGATATAAGAGTTTTCAAAGCTAGTCACAGAATAGTAAACTTTTTCTTAGTAGAAGTACAAATAGGTAAAGCAGACTTACAAATGTTTTGGGAACATCTTTCTTGCAGGTTTTATAATTTTCAAAGGATGAACAAACTGTTCTATCGATGCCAATAAAGTCTGCCTATAATATCAGCCTGTTTCTGCACAGTAAACTTCACAGTAATTTAATAACGATTAATGATACTCAACTGTTAATCCGCCTCACGTTTTCGTGGAATTTTTATTGTTGGCAAAAACAATGTTGCAAAAATTGCAGTGGTGAAACTCCTTTGCAGCTGACTGCAAAACTGCGTTGGAATTAGGACAGTAGCACTATAAAAATCTCTACTGAAGAGGTTTGTTACCTAACCAAATAATCCGTCAAAAATTCGCAGAAAAGCTTTCAACAGAAGTTACCTATCCAAAATACCAAAACAAAAGCACCTTAGAAATAAAAAAATAAGGCAACATTGGATTTAACTCACCAGGCAGAGAGCTGCCGGCATAGACTGCGGCTATATCCGACACTAACGTCGGAGAGTTAAACTATATGGGTGCCACTGTACACAGAAACAAGTTGACTAAAAAAATTTTTGCTTAATCGCTCTAACAATTGGGTAATGCAACTCATTTAAAATATTCGTGGCTTCTAGAGAACCTATAAGATCTCAAAACGAATTGAGGAGCAGATCAACAGGTCGATGATCTATTAGACGATAACAAATATCAATGCGTAATTTCACACTTCAACAGAACCACTGTGATGCTTTGTGCTTCTCATAATAAGCGCTTGTCTCATTTCTCCTTTTCTTATAATCCTTTTATTGTGGGTGTCTTCTCTGAAATTTATGCGTGTTTATACATTTTCAATACCTGAAAGTACATCGTGCTATTTAAAATTTATAAGTTAATGTTTACTGCAGGTATTTTTCGTTGTTTCCGGTAAATGATTATTACTCAAGTTTGTGATTTGATAAAACGGTTTAAGAGTCGCAGTCAATAATTCCAAGGAAGATTCAACATTTATTGTCCTAGATGTACTGCGGTTAATGTTTTTTGAACGTGCAAAACAAAACTTGTGTAATTGTCGAAATTAAACATGGATAAAGAATGGGTTGCAAATGAATGCTGAAATTCCTCGGCTGACTGTCGATAAAGCGACACTCTTAACACTCATGCCTGAAGTCGCATTATAAAGATCTATTTCGGTTTTGAACAACTTTGTAAATATTTTATAGTTGGCTTTGAACATTTTTGCAATTTGTTTTATGAATTGACTATTTTCAACCGGTAATGAGATTAAAACAGCTATACACTTATTTTGTTCAAAAGCAATCTAAACAAATAGCACTATCATCAACGTAGCAGTCAAGAAAAAAAAGTTTGAACTTGAGATAGAAATTTTAAGAATAATGACGAAAAAACTAATTACATTGTAGCTTTGCTGCCTAATGCAGCTGCTCTATGAACTGTTCGTTTTAACACCGCTGATATTCTTAGCCAGTTAGTTAGTTTAAAGTTTGTTAGTATTCAAATCGTTCTAACTAATTTTGGTGTTGTTTCTTGGTTTACGTTTTTATAGACGGAAAACTGTATAAAAACTTGTTTGTGGTTCCAAATCTGGTCACTGAAATGAAAATATATTCTCTAATGTGTATTGCCATTCAGTTTTGACTGTACACTCAGTTGGAGATGCTTATCAGTCGCTTTCACGTCGTAGCTTTTGATAGAAAAAAAAGAAAAAGGATTTCTGGCAAAAACAAAGCATCTAGTCAACTACTGGATTTTTCAATCTTGCTTCTTTTTTGCCCTAGCATAGCCACATCATTAAACAAGTGTCTATTTGAGTTTTCTCAATTTTTAGTGCCTGTCGACCTATTTTGGAAATGCAGTTTTATGATCAAATTCTTTCTTTTTGGTATTTATTGTCGTAGCTCTTCGGGAAAATGATGATATTATTTTCTACAGCAACAAATAACCTATCTATAGACTTTACTATGAACACCTACGAAACTGATCTTTCGAGAAGAGCAGACACTCTGCGATTGTATTTTTCTCAGTATTTGGTTTTTTACGTAGTGGAAAGGATCTGTTTGTATAGTCAGCTAGAAAGGCACAAATTAACGAAGAACTATCTAAAAATTACGTTTTTTGACCTTTTATTTTTCTGCTTCTCTGCTGTTTCTCCTTGCTTAGTTAAATTGTTTGCCGGTGTTTTAGAACGATCACTAAGTTGCAGTTTATTTCGGATGTCACTTAACAAAAGAAAAAAAAGTTGCTTGACAGTCAGTCAATAGCATTTTTAAAACTATTTAAGGTTTTTAGCAACTTGAAAGAGTTTCTAAAAGGCTTCAAAATACTAAAAACAGTTTATTTAGTGAAAATTTTGGTAAGTCCTCATAAACATTACGGTTACTGTTCAAAAAAACAGAAGAAATGTTTGGTGTTTTGATGTTTGGTCACTAAATAAAGCGCTTAATTTTTCTGCCTTAAATTGTTCTTTACTCATCTTGAATGCTATAATGTGATAGCAAAACAGAGTTTTTATACAACTGTTTTCATAAGCTATGTTACATCCCACTTATTTTACCAAAAATAAGATACGGTTTTTTTTTCACCAAATTTAATTTTCTTAAATTGCTGATCGATAAAAAATAACGTCATTTATTTTAAAGTTTTAAATTTTTAAAAAGAAATTTTCTTCTGGGTATTAAAATGAAAACTTTCTTGTTCAGTGTTTGAATTTACTGAAGCAACAGAAGCAAAAGAGGAAAAAGCAAAAGGGTTCAATGTTCTTAGTATGCAAGATTACGAGGACGCTCCTTCATATAAAGACCAAAGACTACTTGAAGTTGGCTTTGCAACTTTGTTCTAACAGCAAAATTTGGCAACTTATATGTTGCATCCAATCTTATTTAATGTTTTTTTAACTTCTGCAAGCTTTTAAAATATATTTCTCAATTTCTAAACATTATTTTAAATAGTTTCATAACATTTTAACATTAATCATTTAAATCACATTAAAAAGTAGCATTTATTTGTTTTTAAAGTTGGTAAGTGTTGAAAAAGCTTCTTTCAGTACTTAAGAACAGGAATATTTATTTGTTAAGAGGAAGACTTTACTCTTTTTTATCAGCTTTCTGCAAAATTAAGAAAAAAAACAAAATTTTTGAACTGCAGTATGCATTTGGGATCAAAAAATATCACTTTTACTGTAGTATCTGACTCCTTAGTATTTCAATTTTTCACAGCGTTACTGCTGGTAATACTTATTTGCTCAAACAGTTAATGCTGCTAATTGTTTAATTTTAATAATGTTTCGCAAAAAGAAACTCATTTTAAAAAACATTTTTTTTCTTCGAAAAACATTGGTCTTTTACAGCTACAAGAAAACTTTACCTTGACAGAAAACTCAACTTTTGGTATGTTATTTTATCTGTCTAAGGCATTTCTGTAAACTGCTAGCACTTACAAGTTTTTATCTTTCTTTTCTTGATAAATTTCTTAACAAATAATGAATGGCATCTTGATAAATAATTTCTGAAAAGTGAAGTAGATATAGATTCAAATCAAAAATTACAAATTACCGTAAACAGTGATAATAACAAAAATAGTAACAAAAATTTATTTCAAAGATTGAACGCTGTTTTTGCATAAAATAGCAGAAGCGAAAATTCTATTGTAAAATTTTCAGAATATATTGCACCGTGCATAAATGAGGAAAATATCGTTGGAATTTCATTGGTTGTCGATAGTTATAAAGCCATTTATTGTTATTTTACTGCCAAAAATTTTGGCGATGCGGTAAGGACTTTCTTATTCCTATAAAGAATTCTTATTCACTAATTCTGTTAAGCAGCGTTCAAGATTTTTTTGACCAAAAAATTGCTTTAAATCTATACAGAACTAAAAGTTAAGTTAAATGTTGAAAAATTTCTAAATGTTACATGATTTTATTATATATCACTGTGGTAGAATTAGTTACTCTTTCAGAAATTTAAATTTCTTTCTCTCTTTTTTTCTTTTCTTAAAACCAGTGTAAATTTATTAGCATTAGAAGAAACATAGGTTTTGAGTAGCGAATTTTAGCCGAACATTAATCTTTCTAAATAAATTCTTGACCGCACAACATTATATGTAAAAATATTGGTACATTCTCGGTTTTGCTAATGTTAATAGCGAATGAAAAAACCATTAAACTAAAAACAGACAAGAAAGTTGCAATTTTTTATTTCTCACTTTTAGTCTAGTAATTTTTCTGCTATTTTCAACATCCATCTTGAACAGGTCACAAAAAAAATTTTGTTTATTGATTTGTTACGAACATGGAAGTTCAGTCTTTTTAATAACTAATCAGTTGACATTGAGTAAACAAGTCTAAGAAGTAAAATCTAGAGTTAACAGATAATATGTGAAAATATTGCAGAATCTAAATTTGACTTTTTAATTTTTGACAACTAGACTAAATTTATAGTCGACTCTTGCAAAAACACAATGAAAATTATGAAAGATTTTTGAGCAGTTACAGTCACATAACAACAATTGAAACAATAACGTATCTTAAATCTATAAACTTGAATAAACATAAAAAATTTGAAAAACTATTATTTATACATGACACTATTTTGATAGGAGAATTTTTCTGAGGCGGTTCAAATTTGCAACAAATACGATGCCTCTTTACTTACATTTGTAAATAAAAACGAAGCGACTGTTTTCAACAGTAAGTTGAGTACATTTATACAAAATGCAGCTTAATCTTTACTTTTGCACTAAAATCAAAAAAAAAGTATAAGATAATGAAATTTCTGAGAAATAAAAGTTCTAATTCAATTTTCTAATTTTGTCATATAGCGGAATATATAATCTTTCTTTCTTTAACGCCGTTCCTCTTTCCCAGTAACATATCAAAAAACAGTTTGTGCTTACCACGGTGCATCAAACTTATACAGTTACAGAAGCAACTTCAGCATTGCCGACTTATAAAGGAATCCTAACAAAAGTAAAATTTTTACTGTCATGATGTTTTTGCATCGCAAAAAGTGTGATGTAAACCCTTTATCAATGTAGGTGAGCGCTAAAATTTACAAACAGTCTACTAAAAAATTGCCCCTGATATTACCTAGCTATATCACAGATCTCTAGATCAGAAGAAAATTATTTTTAGTAGTAAAGTAATTGCTCTTTGCAAAACAGACTTCAGTGCCTTCTCAGCAAAGGTATTGTCGTCTAAAATAGCAAATGGCTTTTTTTATTCTTTATGCCTATAGTCCGTTTCAGGTCACTGTCATTGATGACAGCATATCTTTCTAGTATACACATCAAATTCGCTTCACTGACTTAAGCGAAGGTTTTCAGAATAGTAGTTTAAATTCTTAACATTAAAGGTTTGGTTTTGTAAAAAGTGTTTTGGAGAAAAAAGAAATAGAAGTAGTTTAGAAAGAATAGAAAGAAATGTCAAACTAAAAAATAGTCCTCAGTAATCATTTTTGAGTTTTGAAAAGTACTAAAAACTCACGTGGAAAAGTGTAAAAAACTCAAGTGGAAATTCATCGTTCTCCTTTAGCTAGAGGTAATGTCAGAATTCGTTCTGTATCTGTGTAAGTGAAAGCTTAGAAGAATTTCTTTACTTTTCAGTATAACTTAAAAATATAGAACAAATTTTGGCAGTTTCAAGACTTTGTTCAATTTTTTCCGACTTTTTTAACAGCTAATAGTTACTATTCTGCTAGAGAAGGCAGATGGAAATCAGAAAGTACTACTGGGCTACACCAAAAGCAAAGTCTGGAATTCTGTCGACGGACACATATACTCTTACATGTCTCAGCATTTGGAAAGGCTGCCAACGGAATGCGTCTATTTCGTTCGCCAAAATCGTTTCTATTTTTTAGGAGGTAACGAAAGAATAACTAAGAACAGTGATTATACTGCTAATAAGTAAAGATTTGAATACTGTTTCTTAACCTAAAGTTCTTTTACATCTGTGAAATTGTCAGACTTGTATGAAGGGCAAAAATATATACTATAAAAGTGCGGTAGTGCAAAAGCATGTTCGCAGATTTTAAAAAAGAGCAGGCTATTCCAAATTAAACATTTTGTCGGTGTATCTTAGATTTCTTCAAATTCTCCTGGCTGTGAATCGGAAAGACTAGAAAAAAACCCCAAAAAAAATGAATTTCTTACCAAACCACTTTCAAATAACACTTAAAAACCTTTCATTTCTTAGCTTAGTCAAAGACCACTTTTGGATTATATAACTTCATCTTTTGCAAGTAGGATTAATTAATTTTGGTTTAAATGACGGGTTGTTTTCTACAGATTTGAAAACAGCAGAACTTTTTGTGCTGCTGGAGTAAAGCTAAAATATGAGAAAATGACATACTTTAGGAGACCATAACCAAAAAAAAACCGACCATCTGATTTTTCGAAAAGAGCACATTATGCAGAATTTTTTGCTATAAGAAAGACTAAAATTTATAGAGTAAGGAGATTTGGGGATTTAAAGTTCCAGCCAACTGAGCGAATTGTGGTGGACTACGCTAGCGTCTTTTGCGTCTACAAGACATGCTTTTATTTGACTGAAAAATCGTACATAAATTCATCTTTCACTTTTTCTGCTGCGCTAAATCAGTTATCAGAAAATTATCTAGGGAGAAGTTCCAGCAAAATTTGGTAACATTGCCCAACTTGGCTCACTTATTTACTTGTATCTTCAAACCGTAAAGTTTTCTCACTATAAGGTTTTCTAAAGAGCAAAAAAATTTGCACAAATTTGCAAAAAGTATTTTTTTTTTTTCAAAAAACGATTAAATACTTTGTTTCTGCTACGCATATTTAAAGTTTAGTTTTTCTGATATTCTGGTTATGGTTAAATGATACTCAAAAAACTTAAATTTTTGAGTCTTCAAAATATGTTTCAGAAATCACCCAAAAGATATCAATTTTATCTTCAGACTACAAAACAGCGTTGGTTGAAAAGATTGAGCAAGAATGAGAAATTTTTAAATTAAGATTCTTAAATTAGTTTTGGAAACCGTGGTCATTATCTTTGGCTTGTTGGCTATTTTCTGGTCAAAACTAAAATTACCCTTTTAACGCCATTTCGCAAAGTTGTGTTGTATTGGTTTTCCACTGATATATTGTGGAGTTCGTTCTTGACTTCTGTTGGAGAGAAGTGGCTGCTATCTCTTCATTTTAATTAGAACCACAGGGTCTTCAACTCTTTTTCTTGGTATGAAGCTCCCAAACAGGGAATATTCACAAAGTTGACAATACATATATATTTATCTATGGTGGATGTAGTAGCCATTACGATATGAAATCAGCCAGGAGGTTCTGGTTCAAAAAATTCTTAGAAGACCTAGTGGAGTTATTACTGGTATTTGTTTATGTAACCGCACAATTAGCAATTCTCACCATTACTGTTTGAATATGCCACAACAGGTTACAGTGCACCTATTAATTTTCTTTACCTGTTGGAATTGAAGCAAAATTTAGGCAATTGCACAGTGAACAAGGAAGTCACTTTCTACTGTAAAACGAGAATTGGTCAGTCACGCTCTCTCGAAAGAATTCTGAAAAATCGAATACATTCATTAATGGAGGATGAAAATCGTCGGTCAAAACATTCCCCCAACGCAGTCCTGCAGCCAAGTTTGAAACGACAAACGGCTATTCCCGGCATCACCGAAGATGATTTTGAAATTGACATTAAAGATTTTGATATCTTACCGCGCATTAAAGAAAACAACCTAACAGAAGAAACAACCACGAGATCTTCCGAAATCACGGAAAAAAACTCCACAAGGAAAAAGCCGAAAAGAGTAAGAGCCATCTTAAAGAAATATAGTAAAAGATTCTTGCCTATTGAAAAATTGAATGATTTGCTTCTTTAGATATACGATTTGTGCAAACGTTTACTGCGAGGCTAATTGAAAAACAACTTTAAAAATTACAGGAATTTCACAATTTGTTCAGGAACAGGCCAGAACCTTAGATGTTACCCAGGATAAAAACAAAAAGTAAATTTTTAAGTAAACCAAAAACAGAAGAAGATTAGCGGATTAAAGTTTTTAGTTCTTTAATGCGTCATTTTAACTAGCTCTCCTGATAAAGCTAGGCTGTCATGAACAAAAGTTTCAGGAAAAGATTTCGTTAGATGACGATGTTTCATCAGGTAGGCGTAAGTCAAGTATTGCATGCAGATTTTTCTTTACGGAGTGAAAGTTTCTTTGTATGTCTTCTCCAAGGCAGCCAGAACAGAACAAGTAACTTCTGTACGGTAAAATATTTGGAAAAAGAAAATCATATAAAGAATTTCTCGAACTAGCTACCCAGCATCAGTTTTACCTTTTTTGACAAGGCACTAAAAATAAAATTTTAGCAACTGTTTTCCTAATATGTGGAGGTTTTATCATTACTATACTGGTGATGATTGCGCTGATATTAGTCATAAAAATCCGTGTGGTATCCAAAAAGAAACAGTTACTTTTTAAACCAGTGATCAGAAGGCGTCGTAAAACTCCCTCAAAAAGACGCACGAAAAAGAAATCAGAAGAGATTGGCGAAAAGAAAGAGAGGAAACTAGACGAAATGACCTTCCGTCTTGATAGGTTAAGTAGTGACCTAGATGATGCATATAAAGAAGCTTTATCAGAAAGCATTCACGAGGTTTCTGCATAATTGAGAATTTTTAGTGCAGACGTAGAAATTGCTAAAAATATATATACAGGGTTTTCTGCTGACAACCATTATATAAAGTTATATAAGTTTCTTTCTGCATTGGGTTAGGTGAAAAGAAAACTGTTATAGTAAATTTGCTTGAAATACTACTATAACTCTAAACAGCGAAGGAAATTTAAGAATTGTAACTGAGTATAATGCAGCTAATAGATAGTTTTTGCACCACTTGTTACAATTGCGTGAATGTTTCTAATATTTTGTTATACCTTTTCGTCTGTTAACCGTGAATTAGCTACAGCCTTTAACTGCCTTGTGTTATGCTAAATACTTTCTCACTCTTTGCACGACATATGCTAAAAAGCGAAATCATTTGGCATTGAATTGTTTTCTTACGACAATGAAGGTGATAAAGATGTACAAAATAATGGAAAATTGGTTTGAAAAACGTAAATTTCACCCAAAAATTTGGTTAAAAAAACTTGTTAAAACTTGTTAAAAGTTGTCAACTAATGCTTTCCTTACAATTCCTTTAATACCGTTCAACAACAGCTGCAGATTAATACACGGATGAAAAACAACATTTCTAAATAAAATGAGTTTATTCCTTAGCA